ACCAGTAGAGTTCAACTGGGTCTGTTGTGAGATAGCAACTTACTGAAGACAATGTTGGATGTGTCACTCAATTTTTTCAATTAGTTGAAGTTAGACAATAACACCACTGGATGCCAGTTTAGTGGTTTAAATGTTAAGCGCTCGCGCGCGAGACCAATCGGTGCTAGGTCCGAATCTTGTGAAGTGGGATCGTAGATGAGCACTGCTGAGTAGTTCAATAATAGGACGAAACGGTCACTCAGTGCTTTCATGTTTCCCATGGTGGTCTAGTTTCAATTGACTCATGATCTTAACTATCAAAATTCATTAAATCACAATTATTATATCCATGATACAAAATAAAGGAATGAAGCGTAACTATAAATATTCACATTTTACATCAATAAAACACATTCACAATTATTTTAATTAAAATAAAATTCAACATTTGTTAAAGAATATTTTCATCAATTTGTATAAATGTTTATGTTATTCATAAGAAATAAAACGGAGTTTTAGAAATTGTCCTAGTAACAACCAACCATACAGAATTGTGGAATTTGTTATGTTATAAATAAAAATTTATTCAACACAAGAACTTATTGTATTAAATGATAAAAGAATGTTTAAAAATGTTTTGTGATGAGACTATAATTTATGGACGACGCTAGACTGATCTTAAGCGTGTCCACTTAATAATCGGGACCAAAAGAGGGTTATGAACCTGTATAAGGAATAATAACTATAATTTACAGTTGATAATTAAGCTTAGGAATTAAATTTCAGGTTTTCATCACAACCTGACATCAATTATAATTTCAACAAGCTAATTATCCAAATGAATGAGTGAATTTCACGCCGAAATTCGAGACCTGTTATCTTATACATGATTGGTCCATTCATAAATTATAGTCTCGCCTGTTTTGTTCATTTGAATTCATGATAATAAACAGATTTTTCACTTAACTAATAATGAATATTTTATACAGTTCATTGTATACAAAAAGTAATTTTGTGGGTGTATATATACAAATTTGTCGGTGAGACCGGATTCCATTTGAAGATGCTGCTATTTTTGTATTGAGATTGATTAATTAATTAAACACAAAAAAACGATATACGTTAGATAGAGATCAGTTAATCAGAATTGAGAATTAACTAGACTTTTAAGGCGTACTGTGTGAAATTTGAAAATCATGTCTAACAATCAGTAGAAACAATTCTATGTTTAAAATGATTACAAAAATATTCGATTGATCATTGAACTGAGTTGGTCGTTTTCGAGTTTTGCCAATTTCAGCAGACTGTTTCATGGCAAAACTAGAAAACAAAAAAATGTTTGTTTTTTCGTAACTATAGAGTAAAAATGATAAGGTTAAATGTGTCAAATCTTAATTTTGTATCTTTACATTGTTAATGACCGGTAAATACATATTCTATCCTAATTCTTAACTCTAAACTCGTAATTCTAAAATAAAATTAAACTTGTTGGTTGTAAATTTAATGGATGAACTAATCATGACTCTTCTATTTTTGAATTAAATTCATTCTTTCACATCAATATAGAACATTTTTACATTATAGCTGATGACAATTCGTTTATGAAACCTTTAACCCTAACCTTAAATGTTTAACTCTAACAAGAAACAGTGTGGAAACTCCAAAAATCTTTTTGAGTTTTTTATATGGTTCGAGAATATAAACAAACTTCATCCATTAGGACGAGTTTATTTGTTACTGTTATTGAGATTTACAGACCGAGTAATCTGTAGGAAACATAAATAAACTTACTAATTGTGTGAAATCTATTTACGCTTTCCTGTATAATTATTTTCATTCCTATAAACCATTCCTTAATGAAAGCTATTTTCTGACTAACTGGAAACTAGTTGAAAATTCATCAAAGCTGTTTTAAGCTCACATTTATATATTAGTACATACACCCGAAAGTTATCGAAAGTTAAGCGAAGTCTTTACCATAAAAATTGATGGATTTTGGCTAGTAGTGGAATCTAGAATGTGATTTTTGTTCCAATTCAGACTTGTAAGCTATATTTATCAAGATTATAATGGTTGATCTTCATGCTAGGACTAGAATCAAGTAGCATTTACGTCATACGCCGAAATATTATCTAAAAAGCCATTAAGCTGTTATATCCAGACGAGAATAAATGAATGGTAACCATTAGAAATTACTTATAGACTAATATTAGACGTATATTCTTATTGTATGGCTATTAAGTGACTATATTATATGTATGTTCATATTCCTCTGATTATAAGCTTCTATTTGACCTAGTGTTTACTGTTGTACGATTTAATATTCTCAAGTTGCTCTCAATCTATTAGTCACAGTTTCTCACAATCACAGCCAAGTTTGGCTTGATCTTGTACAAATGTTATTTTTTATTTTATGGTGTGATGCGGTCTGACTTGTTTGTATATAAATCCAGTATGTTTGAAATATATGATTCATATCGCGGAGGCTGAGATTGGTGTTCTGTATTTAATAGGCATGGAAAAGGACCAATCGGTACTCTAGGCTGTTCATTCAGTTGCATGCTTTATTTGTTGGTCGTATAAATCCGCGTGTCTAAATCTGACAGTCGTATTCGCGGTAATCGTTTAAGTTAAGGACATAACATGAGTTAAGATAGACACTAACGAGTTCAATTAGCTTGGTATTCATATTGTTTAGAGGTATTGAAAAATTGTCTCATCAATAAACTGAGAAATACAATCAGAATATTGAATTTTCAATTGGCATGTGATAAATACCGGATAAATTACGTAAAAATGTATTTCTTCCTTCTAAATCACTAATGATAATCCAATCGTCTTCTTTTAAAGAAATGGAATGGGAATGATTAGAATGAATAAACTGGTAGTCTTTTCATAAGACCTATACTCGTATTTCAACTAATCAGAAGAAATTCAGAAAACTGAATCAAATTAACTGAATATACCAAAGGACATAAAGAAATCGTTATTTATGTATAAAACTAGCTTTGTATAACTGAAATTTTTTATGGAATAGTAAGTAATTAACTAGGGATTATATTAACTGTCATAACACAAAATAGGTAACATTTATAAGTTCTTGTATGAGGCAATAGACAGCAAATAAACACTCTCAACAAAACTATACATAATTGATTACATTTTTCATATTATATCAACACTCCTACGGTTAATTTCGACCACGGTAAACTTTTGTGAAGCTCTTTTACTAACTTATTTAACAGACAATGTTATTTGGACAGTAACAATTTGTCTATTTCTTTGTATTATTATGACTATTATCATGTCTGCATAAACGTGCTCTTGGTCACATGTGATAGCCTACGCACATATCTGTCTAGCTTAAATGTTGATGGCTTCATTATTGTTGGATGAATTATTCTCTTTCCCATGTATATATGTGCTGAAATCCTATTAATAGTGTGTGCAGTGCCTAGCTGCGCCTTGATTCGATTCGACTATAAATCCGCTTTTGTATTTGCTTGCTCACACACGCTGGCCTCTATGCTCCAAATTTGCTCGATGTGCTTGTAACTTGGTTATTTGTACTGTCTGCTAATAAACCGAAGTCCCCACTTCTTATCGCCTTTTGAACTCAAACACTGTTAGGGTTTATATAGTAACGGCTATCAAAGTGATTGATTAACGAAGCCAAGTCATTACAATGTACAGCACTGTAGATGCTGGAATCGAATATACTATAGGTCAGCTTATAGAGAGATTTCTTATTTCATTACAGTAGAATGAACAAAAATATAGCTAGGCAGCTGGTCATCATAAAAGTCTTTTTCAGAAATCAGAACTAATACCATTAAACATCAGCCCAGAAGTCTAGTAGCTAAGCGTATGCTGCTAGCGAGGTTATAAGTGAGCACAACCCAACAGTTCCATTCAAGATCGAAGCAGCTTTAAAGTGCTTCCTGATTTTTGTCGCACCTCAATGAAAGATAATCCGCGACAAATATCACCAATAATAAGTTTATTCATCCAGAATAATCAAGACAGAAATTGATTGAAGTAGTCAGTTTTTATAAGATAATATTGAGTCATATTTTTACACGGATTAATAAAATTGTTCACACCCAGGAAGAATTAGTCATTTTGTTTAATGACGCTATGTTTTAATGAGAAATTATGGTAGACTGTCTAAAAATTTGTAATAATGACGTATGAAAGAAGTAAAGAGAAATCCGGAGTGCAATTTTTCAATGTTTGAACGGTTAATACATAGTGATTTATTGTGGTAGATAAACTTGGTGGCTTTTTTAATTTCTGATCATTATGTCAAAGTCATCCTATAAAATAACTCTTTTATCTGGACACCTAGATTTCCTCGAGTTTTCTAGAGAAAAAAATCTGGACTATCTACAGAACTAATCGTATTAAAAATTTACTTCATTTCTTTTATTCCTCAAGTATTGTCGTATGGGTGCTTTGTAGAGATTGTTGAATTCTATAATTCACATCATGATTTTATCGCAGTAAGACAGCTAAAAGGATTCAAGAAGCATTGTGCATCTGCTTTACCTTGTTATGGTACACATCAACAATTCACAATAATGACTCTACTCGAAATCGAGCCCTGAAATTTTACGTCTTGCATTGAGTGCCTAACATTTAGACCTCCAAGGTAGCACCCGATGATTTTCTCAAACGTCTAGCTATTCACAACCATACCCGAGTAGAATAGGAAACAAGTACCCTGAAATAGCATTGGAAGATAGTTGGTCAATATTATGAATTGATTCAAGTTAAAAGTAATTAACTATTGGATCTCAACTCAGTAGTTTAAATTTTAAGTGCTCGTTAAGGGACCTGTGAACTGTGGCTGTGGACCTCAGTGTAATTATGGATAAGCACTTCTAAGGAGTTTTATACCAGGACAAAAAGTGGACTCAGTGTTACTTGGCTTTCAATGATTGTCTAACTAAGATGAATCCATGATGTAAAATAAAAAATATTATTATTTCAAACCAATATATCCATATTCTATAAATTACCGTTATTATTACGATGAAAATGTGCTTGATTAATAAGTTTAGTAAATAAATTATACATAAGTATAATCAGAACTAATATCTTTAAGTGAACATTTAAATGGGATTATTTTTCTTAACAAAATATGTGATAATACAATAATACCATCACAAAAACCAATCATTATGGGCAAAAAAAGGTTTTTTCCCCTTTAAATATGAGAGGATTACTATCAACCAAAAATAATTCATGATATGACTAATCAAAATAAAAGTAACCTTTTTTTTTCATTGGTTGTTTATTTGACAACAAATATCACTTTAGATGACTAACAAAATTATAATACTGAATATCTTTTAGACTACTTAAAAGGTATAGAACTATAGGGAAAATAATACATTATTGTCTCAATATTTTATATTGATAAAAGTTATTGTCAGAATGAGGGTTTGTGGAGATTGTCGTAATTTTAATAGTTGAATTTAAGCTAGACCACCATTGAAAACCTGGAAGTACTGGGCGGCTGTTTTGTCCTAGTATAGGACTCTTCAATAATGAGCACCCACAATATCGCGCGTGAACGCTTAATCCCTAGACCACTGAGCCGACATCTAATGGTGTTAATGTCTAATTTAAATCAATCTGTGGATAACTGTCTCCACACAACACGGATTGGACTCCATTGGTCACAGCTTCTCACTAAAACTCCAGGAAATCCATCTGGAAGCTAGTCACTAGCACATGATTATTATCAAAATGGGAATTTGTGAAGATTGTAGTAATTTTAATAGTTAGGCATTAACACCGTTGGATGTCAGCTCATTGGTCAGAGGTTAAGTGTTCGTTCACGAGACAGAAGGTCTTGGGTTCCACTTTCTTGTGCGGAGTCGTGGATGTTGACGGTTAGGGAGTCGAAACAACCGTCCAGTGCTTCCAGGTTTTCAATGGTAGTCGAGCTTAAATCGACTCATGAATTCAACCATTAAAAGATTATTGTTTTAACTGGAAAAAATATTGCACTATAATTTCGTCATTATATTTAGTTTAAAGGTGTTACTAATCATCGAAGTAAAGGAATATACTTCATTAAGATTAGTCCTGTTTCATCATCTTTTAGCTAACAACGAAGTATTTCATGTTAATGGTATTATGTTAAATTATGATTAAATCACTTGTAAATTCCTTCTACACATATAGATCAGTCATGATCAATACTACATGGTAATCCATTATAAACATATGGTAGATGGACCGAATACTGAAGTTCATACCAAGAAAATGTCAAGATGACACAGAGAATAAAATAAATACTTAATTTTGACTACATGTAAATCACTGTAAACGATTGTTATTCAACGGATAAATTAATGGATGATTGGTACAAGAATTATCTTGTTATGTAAAAATAGAAAGAACTAATTTGGTGATTTAGATAAATTGATAAGTTATATATACATTGTAATATTTCTATTATCATTTACAGATCAACATTCCGATTAGTTATCTATGATTATCGAATCGGTTAACAATAGCAAGCTTTCATTGTCTTGAAATAATTAGAGACATTGTTGTCAGTATTGCCTTAGCTTTATGTATTCTCACTGATATGGAAGATTCATAATAGCAATAATCAATAACATTATAAGAGGATTAAGGATAAATTATATGAGGGTAATAAGTTGTGAATATATCTAACCTTGTAGGATACCCAATACACTGATAAGACATTGAAATAGACAATGATTCGCTAATATTAGATTTTAGACGTATTCGAAAATGCTTGAATATCACATCATATCGTTTAAACAGTGAAAGTTGGGTTTGTACCAATTTCATTGATTTTCAGCCATATAACTTATTATTTGTACTTTCATCAAATACTTAACTGGCGAGACTACAGAACTCAGTGATTTAGTGCCATAATATAATTTGTTAATACTAAACTAATACTCAATTTACCTTGCTTTACTTGAATAAATATCATTCGTGTTTAAATTAATTAATGGTTAGGCGTAATAACTGCTTTTTGGGTTACTTGTGTTTTTGAATCAAACTATTTGTAACAATTTATTCATTAAAGCAATCTCTTCTAACAATTTCATTTTTAAGATATGACAACGGTAATTTAAGAAATTTGGACAGAAACAAATTTTGTAAAATTGAATAATTATAAAACAGAGTGAATTAGAATTATTACCGTAAATACATAATTAAAATATGAAAAGAAGAAAGACAACTAAATAAATAAAATAACACTATGAAGTAAAATCATGGTAAAAACAGGGTTTATGGTGGAGTTTTGTTCTCTAAGCTGAATGGTATGGTATTGGTTTGTTAAATTCAGGTTTTAAACTGTGACTGTAAAAAGGCTTCTGTAATATAAAATTGGTTTAGCTGTACATATATCTGATTGGATTTTGTAAAAATCTGTCAAGGGATGAATCTGTGGCTGAACACCTTTTCTACCATATGTTGACATACGTTTTCTTTTGCTAAGTTACACCAGGAGGTATTACGTGATGTACTGGATAATTGGTCTCGATAAATGATCTGTATATCTAGCTCTATAATAGCATAGTGAATTGGTCAGTCATGGCAAAATTTCTTTCGCACCGAAGTATGTATGATGATACCAGTTAATACAAAGATCTATTAAATTAAATATTGTTTGAATTGATCATTTCAGACAATTTTTTTAATAGATCACCAACAATATCATCTATTCATCTAAAAATTATTGAATGGAGAATTCATAAAAAAAAATCTCAAAGAACTCAACATTATCAAAGTATTCACTTTCACTATAAGTTTTCTTTATCCTTTCACGATATATATTCTTCTTAATAAATCTTAAAATGTATCGATTCTCTGTAAATGTAGATTACAAAATGAATATTTCATCTTCTAGGTGATCTAATGAATAAATTTCTCAATAATAATAATAATAATAATAATAATTTTTTAATACAAAAGAAAACAAAAACAACTATACCTTGTATTAAACGTTTTGTGATTCATCTAACATATATTTACAATATTGTATAATTTCTTTAAGTTTTAACCATTCTGAATATTTCAGTTTGTAATTATCTTTTATAATTTGTATTTGTTTTATTAAATTATATTCATCTTCAGTAATAATTGATTCATGTTCAACAGTTTGGATCAATCCTATACAACAACAACAACAACAACAATAATAATAGTGAACTCATATTAGGTTTGGAAGAAAACAACATTAGTATCAATGTTTATATATTCACTATGGTTACTACAACTACTGCTACACAGGCCGTGTAGCAACAGCCTCAGCAGCAATAAGCTTCAATATACACAAAGGGAAAAGCAAGATTCTCCGATACAACACAACATGCACCAATCCAATCACAATTGACGGAGAAGATTTGGAAGATGTAAAAAGCTCTACATATTTGGGCAGCATCATTGATGAACACGGTGGATCTGATGCAGATGTGAAGGCGCGGATCGGAAAAGGAAGAACAGCATATTTACAACTGAAGAACATCTGGAACTCAAAACAGTTGTCAACCAACACCAAGGTCAGGATTTTCAACACAAATGTCAAAACAGTTCTACTGTATGGAGCGGAAACCTGGAGAACTACGAAAGTCATCATCCAGAAGATACAGGTGTTTATTAACAGTTGTCTGTGCAAATTACTTTGGATCCGTTGGCCGGACACTATTAGCAACAACGTACTGTGGGAGAGAACAAACCAGATCCCAGCGGAGGAAGAAATCAGGAAGAAGCGCTGGAAGTGGATAGGACACACATTGAGGAAAGCACCCAACTGCGTCACAAGACAAGCCCTCACATGGAATCCTGAAGGCCAAAGGAAAAGAGGAAGACCAAAGAACACATTACGCCGGGAAATGGAAATAGACATGAGAAAAATGAACAAGAATTGGATGGAACTAGAAAAGAAGGCCAAGGACAGAGTGGGTTTGAGAATGCTGGTCTGTGGCCTATGCTACATTGGGAGTAACCAAACTAAGATCAGTTAATGAAGTGAAATGTCTAATTTTAATAATCTTCTTCACATTCGAAATCATTTCAATTTATTTGAACACCAATGATGAAGTAGGATTTGAATACTACTGTTGAACAAAATCATAGAGTGGTATCGTATCCTTGAAATGTAACATTACTATTATAATAAGCATTATTTGATATTATATTTTTAGTACAATATAGAATTTTCAGCACAAAGTATTTCAGCAAGTTTCCCTTATTTTTTATTTCTTCATAGATATTGATGATCAATAATGAGTAATCGCTGGTTAGATATTAGCATTTCAGAAATTGACATTTGAATAATATTCATTGTTTTCAATGTATATTGACATGTAGTGCCCCCAGATACCCTGGTATAGACGAGAGTAAGGAGAGTCCGCTCTTCCTCTCGAAATGCTCTCACATGGCCACGCGTATATAGCCTCTTCCAGGGAAGTCCTACTCACTGCCTTCTTGTGGCGGGGATGCTGTTTACGAAACTGAGAGGACGAAAAGCGAGTGTCCGGCGCTTTAACCGGGTTGGTGGACATGGAGAGTTCACCTAGGGGAGTTGGAAAACCCTGATTCCAAATCAATGGTGCACATGGGCTACAGTATCCCAAAGTAACAACTGGCGTATGAACCAATCGTCGGTTGTTGGACTGCGACTCTTCACGTTGCTCCACTCCCTTGTGAACCAAACCTTCAGTTTGAAGGCTTCGGGTGTGGCCCCCTAAGAAAACCACCTGCTTCGGTTTGGGCACCCGGGCAGTATCACAGCCCTCACACATATCAAATGAGATTTGTGTGGCACATATGTATTTGGTGCCTCCTTGTACCAATATCCATGTGTTAAAATAAATAAATGAATAATAATAAAAAATGCATATTGACAACCATCTCCGATTATAAATTTTTGTAACGTGTATAATGAAATGCTGTAAACATTTCACAAACGCATCTGATATAGGTTATGCAATTCACTGACATAATGATATGTTAAAACAAACAAAGAAACAGATAACTTGTTGAAATATCTAGATGGCAAGAACCGATAACTCAGATATTCAAACAGACCACCCTTACACTATTTAACCTTTGTAATAAAATTATCTAAAAAAAACTTTGGATGTTACTTATTACTTGCTACTATACTTTATAATAAAAATATCATCTATTATATAATATATTAGATTATTAGTTTAACTTATTGAATATTGAACAGTTTCATTTTATTAACTTTAATTGAAATTTTGGTATAGTTACATAAATTAATTATAAGACGTTTTATCAGAAGGGGTTTGTGGAGATTTTTAGAAATTTTCACAGATTGAAATCATGAGTCAGTTGAAGCTAGACCACCATTGAAAACCTGGAAGCACTGGATGGCCGTTTCGTCCTAGTATGGGACTCCTCAGCAGTGCGCATCCACGATCCCGCACCACGCGGGGCTCAGTGGTCTAATGGTTAAGTGCTCGCGCGCGAAGCCAGTAGGTCCTGGGTTCGAGCCCCGCGTGGTGCGGGATCGTGGATGCGCACTGCTGAGGAGTCCCATACTAGGACGAAACGGCCATCCAGTGCTTCCAGGTTTTCAGTGGTGTTATAGCTTCAACTGACTCATGATTTCAATCTATAAGACGTTTTATTGATTTTTATCATGTGATCTACTAATTGAAAATATTCGTATAAGGATATTACAATTAAATTATATTTTCTTCAGTATAATTAAAATAATCTTTTTTTGTTTTAATCTTTATATGACGTTTATATGTTACATTGTCTATTTATTAAAAAAATGCTTATATGAAATGGGAAAATGAATATGGATGAATGTATTTAGTAGGATAAAAAAAGTAGTATTGACGAATATTATCTGAATTGTTTATAATATCAGACAGGTACCGGTGTTTTTAACGTGGTATGGTCGCCAGCAACAACATGGAGAACAGCAATGCAATCACACTTGATGGAGAAACTCTGGAAAGTGTAGAATTCTTTACATACCTGAGAAGCATCATCGATGAATAAGGAGGATCAGATGAAGACGTAAAGGTGAGGATTGACAAAGCAAGAGCCACATTCATACAATTGTAGAACATATGCGACTCAAAACACCTTTCAACCGATATTAAAGTCAGAATCTTCAATACGAATGTTAAGGTGGTTCTACTGTATGGAGCTGAAACTTGGAGAACTACAACAACCACCATCAAGAAAGTACAAGTATTTATAAATAGCTGTCTACGCAAGATACTCAACATCCATTGGCCGGATACCATCAGCAATAGCCTGTTCTGAGAAAAAACAAACCAGCTTCCAGCTGAAGAAGAAATTAGGAAAAGACGATGGAAATGGATAGAACATACATTACGCAAATCATCAAACTGCATCACGAGGCAAGCCCTAACTTGGAATCCTGAAGGGAAGCGGAAAAGAGGAAGGCCAAAGAACACATTACGTCGGATAATAGAAACAGATATGAAAAGGATGAATAAGAACTGGAAGGAGCTGGAAAGGATTGCCCAGGACAGGGATGGATGGAGAATGCTGATGAGCGGCCTATGCTCCTTCACGAGGAGTAACAGGCGTAAATAAGTAAGTATTTATAATATTCAACTAGTAGTTACTTTATGAAACTAACTACTAATTAATATAAGAAGAAGATTTTTATTTATGGAGTTAGTAGTAATTTTGAGAGTTTAATTCATGAGTTATTCAAAGCTAGAACAACATAGAAAACTTGGAAGCATTCGATGGTTGTTTCGTTCTAGTATGAGATTGTGGATGCTCACTGCCGAAGAATCATATAATAGAACGAAACAGCCGTCTAGTGCTGCCAGGTTTTCTATGGTGGTCTTGCTTTAATTGACTCATGAATTCAATTACTAATTAATAGTTAATTATTTTAAATATGTATGTTATAAGTAGTAAGATATTACGTGAATAGTTCAGTATTAATTATCATTGAATATAATGCTGAGTAGTGCTAGTTTAAATATTACGGATAGCACTAATTGATCTAAAAAAATAATTTCAATTTACTAATAAGTCAGATTGAACAGAAATTCTTACGGATTTCATTCACTCACATAATATATTTAATAGTTTTACATCAAAAATTATATAACCTGTTACTAAGCCATTTATAAAAATATTTTTGTTACCAATTGTATTTTACCCAGTTACTAATTAACATTGCAAAGAATTGCTTTATTAATAATAAGCGATGTTTTAAAAAAAATTTAATAATGAGAAAAAAAAGAACATGATATAAGTGATGTCATTTATGCTAGAGATTGTTATAAAATTTTACAACTTTGATAGTTTACATCACAGATTAACCTAAGTTACATAAACACATGAGACGAAGAAGTACAAGACAACTGTTACTTCCGAATAAAGGACTTCTCAGAAATGTGCATATATGATCAAACAATGGTCAGGTATGGGCAGTTATTCATAAATGACATAGGAAGTTTCTTAATCAATTATCATGAATTGATTGAAGTTAGAAGTGATTAACTATTGGATCCCGATTCACTAGTGTATACATTAAGCATACGCTAAAGGACCTGAAAGCTGTGGTTGTGAACCTCAGTGCATTTACGGATGAGCTCATCTGAGGAGTCTTATATCGAAACGACGTAGCTATATATTGGCTCCTAATTTGCAATGGTATTCTCACTAAATTTAGTCCGTGATTTCATCTGCAAGGTTAATAAGCACTCAAAATCTATTAGGTATTATAAAGGAAGACTTCTTTGGAGTAATTATTCAGATGACACATTATTTACAGAATTATTCCGATTGAATTTTAACTTTATCCGTTCAACTGCTTTTTGGAGATATTTTCATTGGGCGCAAAGTAAGGTAAAATCATCATCACATTTGTAAATATCAGACCTAGTGGTTAAGTAAAGGACAGAAGACTCCAAGAGGTTTTTTGATCGAATTCTACACATTAGTAATAATATTATATTATGAAAGTAATAGTTACAGAATTCATGCCAGTTCACAGGAATGATCAGCCTGATATAAATAGGAATATTAAATGTAGAGGACATATGGGATATTAGATTGTTTGAGGTGTTCTAGTTCGAAAATTGTTTAAGTGTTGCATTTTCCACATGTACTAGAGTAATAAAAGTCCTCAGCCG